TCTTTGGGATACCGGGATACATGCACTAGATGGGGAGCCCCATGGGGAGGGAGGGGAATTGACCGAGAATGAAGCCGAGCCACCATCACAACGAATATGAAGAGTAGCCGGGTGGTGTTGTTGATGCTACGGTGCAAAATATCTCGCGAACTAAAGCAATGCAGATGTTTTGTATCAGCCCTGGTAACACTGAAAGTCGTGACTAAGGCTTGGGATGTTTTTTTTCGGATTGCATGGACAAACCGATGGGACCCTTACCGACATAGTAAGAGTAATGTTGCGCAATGGTGCTGATACTCGTGGTGTTGGCAATGAAGGTACTGTAAGGCTCCAGCAGTGAGGGGACAATCATTGCCATTCCCTCCTCCTTCTCGAGCTCCAGGCTCGTAGATGTCGGATCGACTGAGGTGGAGGACGATATCTTTTCCATCTTTGCCTTGCTAACTGGGGGCATGGTTCCGAAATTGCACCAAGCATGCAGTGAGCCAATGCAAACGGCAATGTTTGGTTGTAACATAGCATGCCATGCTGGCCTCCTTGGAAGAGCCACGCTGTCGATTAACAATTGCTTGCGTGGGCAGGAGATCGAGCATGCAGGTTAGTTTAGTTTGCCAGCTGCTTCCTTATAGTACAGCTCCGTCAACACGGACAGCGGTTCGGCATGATGAGGACGACAACACCCCACCAACAACTTCGCATTTGTACTTGTTATCCGATTTGCGAATTGCGGCTCCTCACGTTTGTCCTATGAATATTGTTTGCCATGACCATCAGCCTAAGATCATGCCCGCGAGCATCGCAAAGGCAGGACAATTTGATGGTACTTAAGGAGAAGCATACAATCAACAACTCATCTCCAACAAGTTTCTCACAGCTGCACTGTCACTTGTTCTTCCTGATTCGGCGGCAGCGGTGGCCCGATTGGTGGTTGATGTAGTGAATGTTGTTGATCATCACGTGAGGGCTGACTGAGCCACAGCCGCGGCGGTTGTAGTTGATGTCGTCGTCGTCGTTGTTGTTGCTGCTTACTGGGGCTTAGTAGATGTTAGCATATGGAACTACGGAATATATTTTATAAGGACTATATAGGGATTATAATCCCTCATTCACTACTAGCCACAACTAACGTTGTGGAGGTGGCGGTGGCAGTCCGGGACCTCCGCCACAACCAGGCAATCAGCACCAGCTGCCATTAGATGCAAATACACATGAGCCATAGTCTAAACGCTTTAAAGGGGGTCATATAGGGGATTCTATAGGGGAGCCTTACAGAGGTTATTCAGGGGATACTACGAGTGTAGACAATGGCTCAACTGTCTCCTTTCAGGGAGCGCAGACCTTGACTTTTGCCTTTTGCAAACCCTAAATATCCCCAAACCCTGCTGCAGAAAAGCTGCCACTTCTGCACGTAGAACGTCATAGAGGCGTCGCTGTTGCTCTGCCTGCTAGCAAGTCAAGTTGTACTTGCCTGTCCTATACGGGAACTTAATGATTACTCAATGTTGGGGATTATAAAGTTGGGGATTATAAAGCCCTGCGTGTTTAGGTACACCTAATTATTGGACCTGTTTCACGTTACTGAGACGCTACGGTACTATACGGTAGTGTCTGTTTCATGACTACCGCTGTATGCGGTATCAGTAGAGCCGGGTGCTGAATCAGCACTATTGCCACAACTATGGCCACTCTCGGGGAAACCTGTATCATGGACCTCTGCTGTTGTTGGTGCCGGCTGCAGCCGCTTTCAATACACCCAGCAAGAGGCCCCTCGACAATTTCAGACAACCATTCAAATTCTATGATGCAGTAGTTGTTCTGACACTTTCGATGTTCTGTCCAATTTACCCAACACATGTTGTAACTCCCTATGTACCCTTCAGCTTTCACTTCAATTTCCATGTTCTTTCCATTTGATTCTCCTTTCTTCGGGTAATGTCCCCCAAATCGCAGCCTAAACCCTAAACTACACTAAACTTTGGGGCTTTTAGGGTGTGGGATGAGGTTTGCGGGCCCGAAACCTCAAACCCTTACACCCTTTACCCCTAAACAATAAACCCTATTCCCCAAACCCTATTCCCTAAACCCTTTTTGTTTTTGAAGGAGGACTCTCTGACGCGCCTCCAGCCTGCAGCCTCCACAACTGGCACTAAACTCTACCTAGAAAGCCTAATTACCCAGAATAATGGGCTACTTAAACCCAAAGTAGTAGGAAATTAGGGGAAGTTGCCTATGATTATGGCTAACTGGTTTTCTAGGTAATTCCTAAGTAAAGGGAGCTCATGAGTGGCCCTTAAGACGACGAGTCCTGGCCTAGCCTCCGCCTCCGCCTTTGCGAGGTTGACAGCTGCTTGCTTGGAAGCTTCAACGAGAGCCTGTCGCAATTTGTATAGTTCCACTTAAGTAGATAGAACATGGGATATGTTACATGGGGAGCTTATTATGGTTTGGGGTACTTCCAGATTCTATTCAAGGGGACTCTAAACCCTAAACCCTAAATCCTAAGGGTGTAGGGTTCGTTTTGCAGTTACATGCCCTGACCCTGAGCGTCGCCAACTATCCCCTCGGGTTTGCCCTTAGTTACCCTTAATTAGCTCAAGTTATCCGTATGGGGGGGACCTATAAGGGGATGCATAGGCGGTTTAGGGGGGAGCTTCAAAGAATATGGATAACTTTGGTCCACGGCTCAAGTAGCCACAAGCATGCAAGGACCTAGGGGGGAGTAAGGGAACCCATGACATGAAAGTACTGAATTCCTGCAGCAGCTGCTGTTATTCTCTCATGCAAAAAATGTCAATTGCGGCTCTCATAGATATGCCGCAGTTTCCGTGACCCATGGAACCCATTTATAACCCCAAATAAACCCTAAACCCTAAATAATGGTTTCCATATTCTTTTCCACACTCCCTATAGAAACCTAGTGGTAATTTCCATTTTCTTTTCCATTATCTCTATATAAACCTGAATAGTCGTTTCCATTTTCTTTTCCATTATCCCTAGAAAACTCTAAGTAGTAGCTTCAGCAGCTTCCATTTCCTTTTCCATTATCCCTACATAACCCTTAACCCTAAATCCTAAACCCTTTTTCAGGAGCTGCTCAACTCTAACCTCTGCTTGTAAACCACTAAACTCTACACATGCTAAACCTAACCCTGAACCCTAAAACCCTAAACACCCTAAATGAGCTATAGTCTAAACTCCTAGTATCCCCCTTAATAAGCCCTATGCTACTGCCCTATGTTATCCCCTACATAACCCCTTTTCAGGAGTTTAGACTATAGCTCAAGGTATCCGTGCCATCTCGGCCTGCTGTTCTTCTGCTTGAGCATGGTACTCGGAAGCCATCGCAGCTCTTTCCGCCTGCAATGCCTGTGCTTCCAGCAGCCGCTGGGCCGCATCCTTGCATGCGCACTGGAAGTGCCAGTTCAGCCAGCGCTTCCTCATTATTATTTTCCATTCCATTTCAAGGCCCCGGCGAACAGCCACAACAAAAAACACACTTTGTCCTGCTGGGATGTGTATCTGCTGCTCTCCCGTCTTTGTGTCCACCAGCCAAGTACCAGCAGAAGTAGCGGCAGCATGGCTAAACCCTAAACAGTAGTTTCCATTTTCTTTTCCGTTACCCCAAGATAACCACGCTTAGTCTCTTGATGCATATCAAGGTGCTTCCTCTGATGTCTGGATGACTTCAGAGTGCTGGCGGCGTAGCTGAGCGCACTCCTCTTCAAACCTGCGGCTGTCTCGGAAGACGACACGGTCCAGCGGTGCTCTGGGCCTACAATTTAGGGTGCTATACAGGGGGTTATGTGAACTACCTGCCTTCAATTCCGAAGGCCCAGCAACGATGGTCCCTCTATGCCTCTATGGGTCAAACGTTCCATGGCCTTGACCGCAACTTTGCGTTCTGCCGCTGCTCGTCAGCAACCAGCCCCTTGGCTGAGGCCGAGCCCCCAAAAAAGCTGACATGCAGACCCTTAACCCGAAACCCTAAACCGGAAACCCTAAACCCGCTGCTTGAATCTTGAACCGAGGCACCTCAGCATGAGAACTTGTTTGCAGGGCCTTCTCCAACCTCAGCATGTACAGTTGCATCTCTTGGTAAGCCACTGCAGCTGCCTGAAAACCAAGACTGACCCAAAAAACCTATAAACCCTAAGCTGATGTTTGTGGGAGGTAGCACCTTTTTATATGTTGGCCCCAAAATGGTCCTTTCTGATGGGGGGTCCCCATAATAAGGAATATCTTGGGATGCATACAGGGCGGTCCCCTTATTTTGGGAAGCTGCCATAATCTGCCATACATAGATACCCTGTCACGCCCTTAGTCGCTCACTGCGTTCCAGGCACAGCTGATTCTTCTCGTCTGCTCTCCGTTTGCTTGCAAGGGCCGACTCGAGTTCGCTTTCAAGCACTTCAAGCCTGAGCTCAATGTAACAAGCGGATGGCGGGATTATGAAGTTAATGTTGGCATAGTGTGGAGGAGGGTTCGGGAAACCCCCCCCAACAAATTTGGATCCGGATCCTATGAGGTTTTGTGGCTTCGTGGGATGATGTAGGGTGGGTTTAGGAGTTGGACAAAGGGCAACAGAAGTTAAAGGATATGTTTAAATCTATTAAGGAGGTAATCATCGATGTGGTATTATTTTTGAGGTGAGGGTCTGGTGTTGGGGGAAAGAATGCTGATTTTTCATGGTGTTGGAGTTCGCTCATGGTTTGCGGTCAAATTGGCAGCTCCGCAAAATGGCATGCCGCGATTGGTCCCCAATATAGGCCCCCACAACGTACTCTAATCATCATTGCGCGCCCTGCAACCGCAAACCCTACAGTAATCATCAGTTTGGGCCCTGCAACCCTACGCACTTTTTTCCCTAAATGCTCAACTCGGCCCTCTCTGCCTCTGGTCCCTAAACCTGGCAAACCTAAAGCAAAATCTCCTCCCCCTGAAAAGGAAACACCCCCCTCCCTTTACGGGAGTATTTGATATTAGGGGGGGGCATCCTCCCAAATATTACGTAAATACTCCCAGTATATTGGGAGTATTTGATATTGGGGGGGCCGGGGGTGGGGAGGTTTAGTCTTAGGGCGAGGGGATTATTCAGGAGCCCCCAAGTTGCCTCTTCAGCTTCTGTGTCATCTGTGACAGCGTTCCTAGCGCCTCGCGCAATCTGTCGTCTTGGATGTCAGCCAGGTGGCCTGGTCATTGGGATACGGGAGATGTGAACTCATTGGTTTCCCTACTTCGGGGTTGAGGGTTTTAGGGTATTTTAGGCACGCGCAGCGCGCTCAAGCAGGCACGGAACATGCGTGCTTCGGCGCGACGCAGATCGCCTGGGACTGGCGCTAAGAAGCTTTGCGGAGACGCTTTGCCCTGACTGCGGTGTTGCCACTAACCCGACCCTGATAGTGGACTGGTGCCTGCTTGAGCGCGATGTGCGTGCCTACAAACGGACCGGCGCATGACTTGAGAAGAACTGAGTGTCTGCTAGATATCCGCCTATGCAAGTAGAAGGGCTTAGATGCTGCCGCAGTTCGACGTGCCGTGGAAGTTGGTAGGAGACCCGAAACCCTAGTCCCGAAACCCTAATCCCTACCCACCTGGGCTTGCTATCGGAGACGTAGCCGGGGATGACGCCGTTTCGAGGTCCTCCTCGCGAGATAGGTTAGGGTTATGGGTGTAGGCTCAGGGTATATGGAGTTCTAAGAAACGTATAGATGAGTAGGGTTTTGTGGTTTAGGACACATACTGTTGATACAAAAACTGCTGCATGGCCTAAGTATACTAGACCACTAAAACTCCCCAGGTATAAGGTACTTTGGGTGATGCTGGTTTGATACCATCCGCCGTAGGTTATGTGGGGTTATGATAGGATTTGAGGGTGAGGGTTAGGATCATGTTAAGATTATAAGAATCTTCTCCCTTAAACCCTAAACCGTAAACAGCGTATAGGGACCTTCTCCCCAATGACGATGGAAGATTCAATGGAAACTGGGATTATATAGGCGTTATATTGGGGTTATGTGGGGATAATGGAAGAGAAACAAAACACAAACTATCAGGGGTTATATAGGGTTGGGGCTTACAGGGGTTCCCGAAAAAACGATGTCAAAGTTTATAGGCGATCACCTGAAGATCCCACGCATATGTGGTAGTTGATCAAAATTCTGTTCACAAAATTGCCTTGATTGCACATACATTTCCCAGATTTTTCCACATAAACCTTCAGGAGCCTTAAACACTTGCCGCCCTAAACCCTAAACCCTAAATTTCCGAAAAGGGTGGCTTTCAGATCAACCACCATTTAGGATAGAATCTTTGGGATACATGCAGTAGATGGGGAGCCTCATGGGGAGGGAGGGGAATTGACCGAGAATGAAGCCGAGCCACCATCACAATGAATATGAAGAGTAGCGGTGGTGTTGTTGATGCTACGGTGCAAAAAATCTCGCGAACTAAAGCAATGCAGATGTTTTGTATCAGCCCTGGTAACACTGAAAGTCGTGACTAAGGCTTAGGATGTTTTTCCGGATTGCATGGACAAACCGATGGGACCCTTACCGTAATAGTAAGAGTAATGGTGCGCAATGGTGCTGATACTCGTGGTGTTGGTAATGAAGGTACTGTAATGCTCCAGCAGTGAGGGGACAATCATTGCAATTCCCTCCTCCTTCTTCTCGAGCTCCAGGCTTGTAGACGTCGGATCGACTGAGGTGGAGGACGATATCTTTTCCATCTTTGCCTTGCTAACTGGGGGCGTGGTTCCGAAATTGCACCAAGCATGCAGTGCGCCAATGCAAACGGTCAGCATGTTTGGTTGTAACATGTTGTAACATAGCATGCCATGCTGGCCTCCTCGGAAGAGCCACGCTGTCGATTAACAATTGCTTGCGTGGGCAGGAGATCGAGCATGCAGGTTAGTTTAGTTTGCCAGCTGCTTCCTTATAGTACAGCTCCGTCAACACGGACAGCGGTTTGGCATGATGAGGGCGACAACACCCCACCAACAACTTCGCATTTGTACTTGTTATCCGATCTGCGAATTGCGGCTCCTCACGTTTGTCCTATGAATATTGCTTGCCATGACCATCAGCCTAAGATCATGCCCGCGAGCATAGCGAAGGCAGGACAAATTGATGCTATTTCAGGAGAAGCATACAATCAACAACTCATCTCCAACAAGTTTCTCACAGTTGCACTGTCGCTTGTTCTTCCTGATTCGGAGGCACCGGTGGCCCGATTGGTGGTTGATGTAGTGAATGTTGTGGATCATGTGAGGGCTGACTGAGCCACAGCCGTGGCGGTTGTAGTTGATGTCGTCGTCGTTGTTGTTGTTGTTGCTGCTGCTGCTGCTGCTTATTGGGGGTTAGTAGATGTTAGCAAAGGGAACTACGGAATATATTTCATAAGGACTATATAGGGATTATATTCCCTCATTCACTACTAGCCACAACTAACGTTGTGGAGGTGGCGGCGGCAGTCCGGGACCTCCGCCACAACCAGGCAATCAGCACCAGCTGCCAGTAAATGCAAATACACATGAGCCATAGTCTAAACGCCTTAAAGGGGGTCATATAGGGGATTCTATAGGGGAGCATTATAGAGGTTATTCAGGGGACACTACGAGTGTAGACAATGGCTCAACTGTCTCCTTTCAGGGAGCGCAGACCTTAACTTTTGCTTTTTGCAAAGCCTAAATATCCCTAGAGCATGTTGCAGAAAAGCTGCCACTTCTGCACGTAGAACGTCATAGAGGCGTCGTTGCTGCTCTGCCTGCTAGCAAGTAAAGTTGTACTTGCCTGTCCTATACGGGAACTTAAGGATTACTCAATGTTGGGGATTAAAAAAATCCCTGCCTGTCTAGGTACACCTAATTGGACCACGTTACTGAGACGCTACGATACTGTCTGTTTCATGACTACCGCTGCGCGGTATCAGAAGAGCCGGGTGCTGAATCAGCACTGCTGCCACAACTATGGCCACTCTCAGGGAAACCTGTATCATGGACCTCTGCTGTTGTTGGTGCTGGCTGCAGCCGCTTACGATACACCCAGCAAGAGGCCCTTCGACAATTTCAGACAGCCATTCAAATTCTATGATGCAGTAGTTGTTCTGACACTTTCGATGTTCTGTCCAATTTACCCAATACATGTTGTAACTCCCTATGTACCCCTCAGCTTTCACTTCAATTTCCATGTTCTTTCCATTTGATTCTCCTTTCTTCGGGTAATGTCCCCCAAACCTCAGCCTAAAACCCTAAACTACACTAAACTTTGGGGCTTTTAGGGTGTAGGATGAGGTTTTGAGGCCCTAAACCTCAAACCCTTAAACCCTTTACCCCTTTTTCAACCCAATGAAAGGGTTACTCCTAAACAATAAGCCCTAATCCCCAAACCCTATTCCCTAAACCCTTTTTATTTTTGAAGGAGGACTCTCTGACGCGCCTCCAGCCTGCAGCCTCCACAACTCGCACTAAACTCTACCTAGAAAGCCTAATTACCCAGAATAATGGGCTACTTAAAACCCAAGTAGTAGGAAATTAGGGGAAGTTGCCTATGATTATGGCTAACTGGTTTTCTAGGTAATTCCTAAGTAAAGGGAACTCATAAGTGGCCCTTTAGATGACGAGTCCTGGCCTAGCCTCCGCCTCCGCCTTTGCGAGGTTGACAGCTGCTTGCTTGGAAGCTTCAACGAAAGCCTGTCGCAATTTGGGGCTTAGGGTTTGACTGTAAGGCTTATAGTTCCACTTAAGTAGATAGAATATGGGATATGTTATATGGGGGTCTTATTCTGCTCTGGGGTACTTCCATATTCGATTCAAGGGGGCTTTAAACCCTAAACCCTAAATCCTAAGTGTTTCGGGTTCTTCTTGCAGTTGCATGCCCTGACCCTGAGCGTTTCCAACTGTCCCCTCGGGCTTGCCCTTGGTTACCCTTCTTTAGCTCAGGTTATCCATGAAGTTGAGCTGCGGACTAAAGTTAGGTTTAGGGTTTAGGGTTAAGTTGGGGGACCTATAAGGGGCTGCATAGGCGGTTTTTAAAGGGAACCTTCAAAGAACATGCCATAACTTTGGTCCATGGCTCAAACAACCACAAGCATGCAAGGACCTAGGGGGAGTAAGGGAACCCATGACATGTAACTACTAAATTCCTGCAGCAGCTGCCTTTTTTCTCATGCAACAAATGTCAATTGCGGCTCTCATAGATATGCCGCAGTTTCCGTGACCCATAGAACCCATTTATAACCCAAATTATAACCCTAAACCCTCAATGTACTTTCCATATTCTTTTCCACAATCCCTATAGAACCCTTAAGTGGTCGTTTCCATTCTCTTTTCCATGCTCTATATTAAGCCTAAATATTAATTTCTATGTTCTTCTACATAATCCCTAGAAAACTCTAAGTAGTAGCTTCCATTTTCTTTTCCATCATCCCTACATAACCCTAAGCCCTAANNACCCTTTTTCAGGAGCTGCTCAACTAAAACCTCTGCTTGTAAACCACTAAACCCTAAACATGCGAAACCTAACCCTGAACCCTAAAACCCTAAACCCTAAACACCCCAAATGAGCCATAGTCTAAACTCCTAGTATCCCCCTTGATAACCCCTATACTAGTCCCCTAAATTATTGTTAATTATCCCCTACATTACCCCTGTTAAGGAGTTTAGACTATTGCTCAAATGGGTATCCATGCCATCTCGGCCTGCTGTTCTTCTGCTTGAGCATGGTACTCGGAAGCCATCGCAGCTCTTTCCGCCTGCAATGCCTGTGCTTCCCTTAGCTCCGCTTTCTCTGCCTGCTGCGAAAACATCATTTCCACCGCCGCCACATCCTCCAGCAGCCGCTGGGCCGCATCCTTGCATGCGCAATGGAAGTGACAGTTCAACCAGCGCTTCCTCATTACAGCCACAACAAAACTTTGTCCTGCTGGGATGTGTATCTGCTGCTCTCCCGTTTTTTGTGTCCACCAGCCAAGTACCAGCAGAAGTAACGGTAGCATAAACCCTCAACCCTCAACAGTAGTTTCCATTTTCTTTTCCATTATCCCAATACAAGCTCGCTTAGTCTCTTGATGCATATCAAGGTGCTTCCTCTGATGTCTGGATGGCTTCAGTGTGCTGCCGGCGTAGCTGAGCACACTCCTCTTCAAACCTGCGGCTGTCCAGGAAAATGACATGGTCCAGCGGCGCTCTGGG